CACCTGTGCAGCTCGGAGCAGGATTGCTCTTAACCTGCTTATAGGCACTGAAGAATATTTCTGGGTAGTTGCTGATACCTCACGTCACAGGAATTAAATCATTAAACATTTGAGAGGGGACGGTTTTACGTTGAGCCGTAATTCTCTCTAGTCCCTCCAAGCCCTGCAGTCCCGGGGGAGTGCGGGGGAGAGCGGGGCTGCTCCTCCGGCCCCCAACCGAGAGCCCGGGGTTAGCAGAGATGCTTTCTGCTGCTGTCTGGCTGAGTAAGCCAACGCTATTTCATTCTCACTCCTCTTCAAAGTGATGTCAGTGCTGTAAACACTGCAAGGCTGTGAGCCCAGCTCCTTTCGCTGCCGTCCCTAAGCCCAAAGCTTGCAGCCTGCTCAGGACCCGTGGCGGCAGCTGCCCGCCGGCTCCCTAAGGGGCAGGAATTGCTTGGCTGGCCTCAAAATGCAGGGACGTGCGGGCAGGGCACAGCCAGGCAGGTCATTTATTTATGAACATAAATAAACATTTATTATGTGCGAGAGGAATCTGATGCTGCTGTCGGAGAGGGGAGAGCGGAGCGCGGAGCAGCGCTGGCCCTGCTGCTCCCGCCCAGGCGTGCTGCTGCAGCATCGCAGCCTGCTCCCGCTGTAGCACCGACACAGGCAATTAAAACCTGTGCTTATCTTGCTACGGAATATTTTAGTCGTTGCTTAATACCAATTCGATCAATATTTCTGTTTCTGAAATGGCCATCAGCTTTGCTGATCCACCACGTGAAGGTTTCTGTATTTTTTTTAATGCTCCATCCCTGGCTCCAGGTGCCACGATGTGTGTGATGAGGGACCTTTTGCAAGGGAGCCGGGCTGTGGGGTGGGCTGGGAGGCTTGGGTGGCCTGGGCGTACGGGACTGCATTGCACCCAGGTTCTGTTTACACACACGGCAGGAAGAAGGATTTCCAGCAGCATTCAGCCTGGGGGTGTTGTGTGTTTGTTTTCTGTAAAAGAGAAGTCAAATTGTCTGTGGGGTGAGGAATAGAAACACAGAAGGATTTGACTTGCAGAATAAAGGAGTTGGATGATTTTGAGGGGTTCCTCTGGACAAGCTGGAGTGGTTCACCATCAGCCGGAATTGGGGTTTCTGTACTGGGGATGCTCAGGTTTGAGCCCTTCCAGGTAACGTACCTCGGCAATGGGAACAGAGGTCTTACTGGCCATTCCCAAACTGGGGAAGGTGGTGGTTGATTTGAAAGCTGCAAAGACTCTTTAAACAAAAAATTTGTGAGACAGCAGGACACAGAGATTTACAGCTGCTGCTTCTGAATTTGCCTTGCTTATGAAGTTTGCTGTCACTCTATAGGAAGAGCTAAGTAAATGCTAAATGAACTGTATTTAAAAATACTTCCTCGATAAATGGCCTTGCAAATTAAATTTCAGAAGATGATCTTACCTTTAGCCCATCTTGATGATAATTTTAATTAAGGTTAATAAAAATTCGATCTGCATTTCAGGTTTATTGTCTTACCCCATCACGACTTCATCCTTTAACGAGGTTGGTAATGATGCAAGTGTGTGCAGGGCAAAGCACTCACCTAGAGTCATGGGACTGGTAGGAAAGTATCTTACTATAAGTGCCATTTGAAGCCTTTCCTGAGTATGCTAAGCTCTGTCCTAAAATCAGCTGGAACTTTTGTTCCCTTTTCTTTTCTCCTGCAAGGCTGTTTGTTGGTTTCCAACTTAAATATACCCATAGGATGTTGATATATTGATACTGTGCCGGTATCTACCTTGTTCTTCTCCCTCTCTGGTGCTTACCTGTCCATACTGTTGACAATATACACTCCGATCGTATCCCATAGCCATCCATCCCCTGGCTGGCTGAACAAGTCCTCAGGTCCTCTGAGAAGACCTGTTCATCTTCCTGTACCTGCTCCACTGTGCGTTTCTCGTTCTTGGGCTCCGTCGCCCAGCAGGACACGCAGTGCTGTGGGTGAGGTCTCACCTGGCCTGCCGGTGTGACTCCTTAGACATCATCTGTTTCTCCTCCCTTTGGAGGCTGCATTGTGTGAGCTGTAGCTGGGACTTCTGTAGCATCCTTCCATCTGAGAATCGAAGAGGATTGCAGTGCTGCTAAGCGCCGCAGCGGCGTGCTGCCAGCTTTCCTCCCGTTCCATCCAAACCTTCTGGAAACGGTGTTTTTTCCCGTTGGGTGTCCATCAGCTGTCCATTGCGGACAGGGATACCCGGGCAGCCTTGTCGTCTTTCTGCTGCTCGTTTTCCTGGAGAACTCATGGCAGAGCTTTTGGGAAGCGCCTTACTGTTCGCAGCACGTGCGCACTGCTGGGCCCCCTTGGCCCCTGCCCAACGGGACCCGGAGCCTGCTGGTACTGCCAGAGATCTGCCGGTGCTGGATATTTTCCTGTGGATGTTACAGGACTGTGCAGCTCTTAAAAAGCCGAGTTGGAAACGCTCCCTGTGGGAGTTTCTTTTTCCCTCTCCCTGTTTTTTTTTTTCTTTAATCTCCAGGAGATTTCACAGTTCCAGATTTGGGATACATCAGCAGGTGGCCATATTGTTCACCTCCTGGTGCAAAATGAATCTTTGCTCTATGGAAATTCAAGGACAGGGTAGAGGACCGAGTGAACTGCCAGCTCCATAAAGATAATCTGGCAAATTAATGGATGCACTGTGTACTTTTAATGGGATTTCTTCCATCTTCTTTTAAGCGTTGTGATTGCCCTACGCAGAATAGCATGCCCTTCCTCCTGCCTCAAACCCTGGTGAGAGCCTTGGATGAATTTCCATGGAAGGGGACTGGAGAGGCTCAGCCTCTTGGGTTGGAAAGTGTTTGTGGCTGGCTTAGCTCTCCAGGGTTTTCCTTTAGATGCTTGCTGCCGTGGTATCCCAAACTTTCATTTAACTAGAAACATGTGCAGACACTTACACGTGTCAATTGTCCAAAGGGAAGAAAGAGAGGAAAAGTGACTTTGAAACCAGTTGTTCCATTATTCCCTGTTTGGTGAGCAATGAGTAACCCATGACTTACGCTGTGTCCCAGTGACCCAGCTGGGTTGCTGGTCTGCTGCTGGGGTGGAAGAGCTGCAAGCGTTGCAGCAGCATTCCTTGCCTTTGCACAGGACAGACTTTGGCCAGTCACGCATCTCTTTCTTGAAGCTGGTTTCCTGACGTAACAGGGATATACAAAGAATTTTTCAGCTGTCAGTTTAGGAAGAGAAGAGAAACTTAATATCAAAACTAAAGATAGGAGCATGGTCAAGGCCAACTAAGGTATAGTCTGCTCGAGTATTTTATTTAACCTGAAGGTTTATAGCAGTACAGTACTCTGTCGATTTTATGATCGTTTATTTATGATAGTCTTTTAAATCATTGCGTTTGAGTGATTTGGTTAGAAGTCACCCTTCTGCTGTTTCTTTCTCTTCTTCTCTTGGCCCATGCTTTTAATAAAGTGATGTCACTTGCTTGGAGAACATTAAATGCCGTGGAAGCTTCACGTGATAAGAAACTTTAAACATGCACATTGAAGAATCTGGCAAGGCATGACTTGTAAGGGAATATCTTTCAGTAGCAAGCTGATCTAATTGGAAAACGTGGTTTTACATCTGAGAGAAACACTTCTACAGGTCTTGGAGGAGGCTTGTGGGCTGTGCTGGTTTTCTGGAGCACGCAGACGGCTCCTGCACGTCCTGGGGATCCGTGATGTCCCTGGGAGGCAGACTTGCATCCCGTGCTATTTTTATAAGGTTTATTTCACAGTTGCTCAGTGACAAGATTAAGCTCAGGCCCGGGTTAGATCCTTGTACTTTTATATTTGGTATTATGAAACTTTGGAAGTGGTACAAGCGGTGGTGCCCAGTCTCATGTGAACCAACCTGAGCGGTACGACACCAGCTCTTTCCTGGAGAGCCTCCAGCTGCACGGCAAGCTTGCCCTCGAGAAAGGTTTCCAGCTCAAAAAAGTGGTCAAAAGCAAAGACCTCCTGGTAAAAAAAAAAAAATGATAAGTATACCTGTTTTTTAAGGTTGTGGGAAGCTTTCGAACATCTGTCTTGTTGCCTTCACATTTTCAGAGTTGAAGAACTTATACGCAAGAGGTAGAGTTTTGCTTGTATTGCTGTTGATCCTAAAGGTTGATCATAAGAATGAAGTAGGGGATGTAGTGGTGAGGTCTGAGATTTCAAAGCTTCCGACTTCCTCTGCTGATTTTCAGCACTGGACTGATTCCTGTTTCTTGTTCCTATCCTTTTGGAGAGCAACAAGCCTTTCAAGCCTTCCAGCCTTTTATTGTTTCATGTTTATAACAAAACCCACATGGATTAAAAGTTGATAGGCTCAAGGTTATGTCCCGGTGGCTCTGCATAGCACTGCGGTGGCCCCACGGCTGCCTTGCCAGCGTCGGGGTCCTACCCTGAGTCGGGCAGCCCGGAGGATGCTGTCGGTGTCGTTGCAGTAATTGCATTTTTATTCCCTTTGGCAGCTGGTGATGGAGTTCTGTGGTGCGGGCTCTGTCACCGACCTCATCAAGAACACGAAGGGGAACACCTTGAAGGAGGAGTGGATTGCCTACATCTGCAGAGAGATTTTACGGGTACGTGTCCAGAGGGAGCTAAATGTTGGGGGTTGTTGGAGTATCGCACTCGGTGCTCGGGGGACACGGAAAGCCTTTGGCTCTGCAGGTTTCGTGGCTGCCGCGTTGCCATGCGCTGGAGCCTCTTCGGTGCCGGTAGGCATGAATGATTCATGTGCTTGTATGATGCATAATAAATAAGCCCTGCTTAATGGCCTTTAGCTCTGTTACTTCCCTGACTTTTAACCCTCTTTTTCCTTTAACAAAAATATAATTTCCTTTAGTATTAATAGGGCAAAGATTTATTTACCTTAGAATTACATTTTCAATTAACAGAAAGGTGAGGACTAATGAAGTCGGTGGAAAGAATCTTTATGATTAAAAAGCACCCCAGGTTTTGTTAAATCCACATGTCTCTGGCTTTAATGAGGATGCTGCAGCTTTTATGCCCACAAGATAAATGTTTGACTGGAATGTCTTAAAATGGGCCGCACCAGAGTTTCATGTACTGGGAGATGGCAGCTTCGGCAAAGGCTTGCTTGCATTTTGCACAACTGAGGTCAGATGATGTGATCGTAATTGGTTGCTTCGACATTAAGATCTATTACTCCGTGAACCGGGATTTTGTTCAGGAGAAAAGAGAAAAATCGGGCACGTGAAGGAAAACTGTAAAAGAGCCATTCAAAGAAAACAAGGCAAAATGACTGTTCCCAAAGGCCATGTCTGACACCGCTGCTGAGGCTGCCTGGTGTCTAGGGTGACACAGCACTTCTCTGTTGACCCTGGATGCCACCGTCCGTGTCAACACGATGTGCAGAAGACGCTGGCACTGTAGCTACTCAGTTGTATGGACACTGCTTGCAGTGCCAGGAAACCACAGTTACATGGGCTTATTTTAAATGTCTGAGCTCTGTGAGCCTACTTCTTAAAATAGACCCTGGCAGTGAGTCAGAACCCAGCCACTGACTCGCGTCCCAGGGCCACCATCGCGTGTCATCACTCGCGTTTTGGCCGCGCGTTGGGGCGGTTGGTTGGTGACCTCCATAGGGTTTCAGGTGATGAAAGGCTCCCACCTTTTGTGCTGCAGAAGGTGGCTCATTCTTGGTTCAGACGTTGAGGACTGGTTGTATTTCTAACATGGGGCTCGATCCTGCGCTGTTAAAGGATTTTTTGAAATTCAGTGAAATTTTTGCTTTGCCTCCAGTGCACAAAGGTGCCTCTGACCGGGTATAACATGGCTAAAAAAGGGCTCCCGTACAGATGTAATCTATTCCATGGTGTTTTCCCAAGGTAATGAGCGTAAAATGACTAATAACTACCAGTAGTGATAGCAGAAATTATTTTCTTCCTCAAATATGAATGTTTAAAGTGAAATGTAAACCTAATGCAAAATTAGTTTTTGAAGTAATCCATATTTTTACGAAGCTGGCAATATAGGTGGATGTTACTTTGAAACTGAAGTAATAAGTGAATGAAATAAAAATGTAGGTTGCAAAAAGAAATTAATGAGCTAATAAAAAAGCACAACAGAAAAGCTAGTTTACCTTTAGCCTTTGAGACAGGCTTTCAATTTGAGCTATACCTCCATTAGGGATGTGTGCAAGTTACAATATTTGTATTTGCATGGTAGCCTTTTTAATACAAGCTTATCAGTGCATTGAAGTCCCGCTTATTGGACCAATATAACAAGATAATTGTTTTCTTCAGTTTCTGGATGATGGAAATACAGAAAGGAGACAAAATTGTTCTATTGTTTCTGCCACAGAGATGGCTCCCTAAGGCGAGGGAGCACATGGGGGAAAATATGTCTAGAGATACGGAGGAATTTGGGTTAATATGGGTTCCTGCAGAAACTGAAAGGTTGGTTTTAATCCCTATAGAATTGATGGTTCCTGTCTCCTGCTATGAAGAGCACCCACGGCAGCACATACAGCCTGTCGGCGGGCGTCTCGCTTGCTGGGCATGTCCTCCCAGTGTGTGACATAGGACAGAATTTTGAACACATGATAAACAAAAGCGTTCTCAAGTGCTTAACTCCAGCTGTGAATCTTTCATTTCTGGAGCGTAATTGGTTGAGGAGGAATGTCAGAAAATAACATGCTTTGAACTTGGATTCCTCTAACCTTTCTCTGAATTCTCCAGGGCTTGAGTCATCTACACCAGCACAAAGTAATTCATCGAGACATCAAGGGACAGAATGTATTGCTGACGGAAAATGCAGAAGTTAAACTAGGTAAGAGTGGGTTAGAGCTCTTGGAAACTGCAAGTGGGCTGGCTGGAGAGAAGCAGCAAAACTGACTTGTACATGACTTGGAGAAAGGGGATGGATACTAAGAGCTACTCTGTTTTTTCTTGTGCCAGCCTCAATAACATGACCTTGGGTATTGACCACGTGCCGTGTAATAAACTGCCGGTGGTTGATGGCCAAGTTCTGCATGGAAAGATGTACTTGCAGTTGTGTTTCTGTTCAGACAGGTAGTTTGGGCAGCTCTGCCATCAGATACAGGTTAAGCAATCAAGACCATTTTTTCACGCACTGGATGGAAAACTGGCCTCTGTGCATCGCCAGCCGTTATCAAAGGCTGTTCCCTCACACCTTCATAGTAGTGTCCTACAGGATCATAGTCCAGTCAATAATCCAGATTTTTTTCCAAGCCAATCTGTTGGAGAGAGTTTAATTTGCAAGAACTACTCTGAATTTCATATGCGATGTTAGTCATCCTGGAGAAGACCAGGCATTCACGTGAAGATCATCTGGAAGACAGCAGATCAGCAGAGATGATTTGTTGATATCCGCAGGTGTCCAGCACCAATGTTATTAAGGCTGTATTTGTGCGTTTTAATTCATGCTAGTGATGAAATAGCCCTTACACTGGTAAAATGAGGTGCAAGCCTTGTTTTCCCATGCCTCTCCTCTCTCTTTACAGCAGAATAAAACCCCAGCTTAACAGATGGTATCACCAGCTCGTTTGGCTTTATGCTGATGAAGATTCCCCTCCAAGGGGAAATTCTCCAGGGCAAAGCTCCAACCAGTGTGTTGCGCAAAGTGAACTTAGTGGACCATAGAGTACTCTCTCATTGATTTGATTTCATCAGTTTTTGCTTCATTTTGCAGCTCCCTGTTTGACATTTCCCTGTGGGCGTTTGTCCTTGGCCCTTAGTTCCTTAAGTCTTTCGCATTTCTGCCATTTCCAGCAAGAATTTAGGTAGAAAAATTAGGCTTCTACCAATATTTGGCAGGCTTTAATTCAAATGAGAAAGCATAGAACAAAGGCTGCTGCTTATTCATGTTGCTAACCTTGTTTCTCATTAGTATGAGGAGCTGTGATTTCTTTTCCTTGCCTCCTGGCAAGGAGGAAAAGGCACAGGGTTTCTTACAAAACCTGGACATCAGATGATCAGGTTCGTTCTTGATTGACCTCTGTTGATCCCAGCAGAGATCAAACAGGAATGTCTCTGACCCCGTCTTTCTCTCCTGACTGTGTAGAGAAGTTGGTCTGAATAAATTTAATGTTTTACAGTCAACAGAAGAGTTGCTCAGGTTTTCTCTGACCTTACGATGCCCTGTTGTCTCTCTGATCCATAGTGGATTTTGGTGTCAGCGCTCAGCTGGACAGAACGGTGGGCAGGAGAAACACCTTCATTGGAACGCCTTACTGGATGGCCCCCGAGGTCATTGCCTGCGATGAAAATCCCGATGCCACTTACGACTTCAAGGTACTTAAACGAGCATCTTTGTACTCTTTTATAAGTCATTACAGATGTCATATTTGCAAAGTCCAGCACGTCCACAGATAATGTAGGCAAGGAATTAAAGCAGCACTTATCAGTGCTTCCAACGAGAGTTGTGATCATAAACATCTGAAGAAGGTGCTTGGATAAGATAAAATCTCAGATTTTATGCCCCAGTACCATGAACTCGAGCACTCAGGAATTTAGTATATTCTTGCTGCTTTGCAGAGTATGTTGACAGGCAGCGTAGTCTCCTCTTGCTTTCTGGCTGTTGGGTTTTGAGATGCCAATTCAGGTCCAACGTGAATCTTTGTTGTGCTGTTCACATATCCAAATTTACTGTGAAGAAGTCTTTCCCCATGCTGGGAAAGGTGACAGACGGAGGCTTCCTACCTGCTAGCCTGCTTTTCAGAGCTGCATGTTTAAATACTACAGTCAAACATGCTGTATTTGCTCTATTTACTCTGGAGGGAAGTCAGAAAGGGCAAAATCACATCTTCTGGCCTGCAGGCTGGTCTTCACAGGGAGATCTGAAGGCTGCCACACAATCAGACGTTTGGGGGGCTGACCTACTTTTCACATGTCTCTCTCTGAAGTTTATTTTTGGATCGGTGGCAGCACAACATTGCTGCTGAGTTATAATGTGGCACAGAGCCCCGTGCCACACAACAGGTCAGCAGGAGGGTTATGAGTCCCACCTGCCCGTTCAAACTACAGCAAGGTCCGATGTTTAAAGAGAGGAGAGCTTAATAATAGATTTTATTCTATTTCTGCCTTACTGCAAGTTTCTGGACACACATCTGTAGAAATGTGCTTTGGTTTTTGTCCCTTGGTTTTTTGAAGCATCCAGAACTTGAATTTCTACCTCTAAACCCCCTAAGGTCCACTGAGTGTGTCCAGAGAGCAGAGCAAGACAGTGACACATGGGCTTTGGGGGGAGAAGCTGAGACATGTATAAAGCTTGCTGTGCCTCTGTTCATGTGCATGCTGAGAGGTCACTTTACAAGGTAATGCTTAAAAAGGACTTTGAGACCCTCTGGTGTGGAGCTAGGTACCTGCTTTCTGGCAGTAGGACACTACAATATAATAGTAGAACAGCCCACCATCGTGGTACGATTTGGGGTGCAATTGCCAATCACTCAGAGAAATTTTTGAGAGATGAAGGGTTTTAAGTAACCAAGCGATGCTTTGGCATTGCAGCTATTTAAGTGCATCAGTCAACTTTTGAACTGATGGTTTTCCAGAGAGCAGCTTTCCAGTCTGAGTTCAGACTCTGGGTTACATAAATCGTTAATGATAAGGACATGTAGAAATAGTTTAATCTGCAATTACTTAATTCTCTTTGATTAACCAATTACAACAGGCGTTTCCTCAACTCTGCTGATGGCAGCGCTTTGTAGCAGGGCTGCAGCCCACGCTAGCTGCTCTCGCCGCTTCTCCACTGACAGCCGCCTGGCTCTGATGTTGCAACGCTCTAATTAATCACAGCTTTTTATTATTATTTTCTTAAAAAAAGGACTGATATCTTCATTGGCTACTTTTTACCCACAGAAATCCCTCAGGTTTTTTCTCTTTCCAGAATAACTAGGGCACTTAATATGCTGTTGACTGACGCAGAAGCGCCAGGACCAGAATCCCTCTATTGTCCCCAAGGATCAAATGCTTGTAGCGAGCCGGGCGTTTGCATCTCTGAAGTTGGCATTGACCGTTTTCCCTTGGCTGGGGGTACGAAACAGAAGGCTGATTGCTGCCGACACACTCACTGCAGGGTGTTTTCGGCGCTCGTGGTGATGTGGGAGCCACTGGACATTAGTCCATCCTCCGGATCACATCCCTGCACCTGATGCTCTTGCTTTGAAGTGTGTGTGTGTGGGAAATGTAAATGATAATTTTTTTTTTTTAAAGGGATGCAAATCAGATGCTCTCAGGTTTAGCCGACCGGCTTAAAATAGTGAATACAAAAGATGAGATTTATAGGGTGAAAAAAGGAATCCTCGCAGGCTTAATCTGTTGGACAAAAAGCCTCTGATCTCACTGTTTTCTTAGCCAGAAAGAGATGCCTGTGTAATCTATGGAAGGAGGCAGTAAATTCCTCCTCGAAAAAATAAACCACTTTAAAAAAGAACAAATAGAAACCCCACATTGTTGAGGTTATTTGTTGGTTTTTCCCCCAGCCGGTTTTCCTTTTTTCTTTAGAGTTATCTTGTCAATAAGCTTAGAATGAAAGGCGGGGGGGGGAAGGAAGCTTGCTTCCCTTCCCAAGTCAAGACAATGCAAATATATTAGCACGGTGTCTTTTTGCTGGATGGACTGAAAAGCTTTTCAGACTCAAAAATAATCCCCCCCCCAAAAAAACCCCTGAATTCCAGATCATTATAAAACCTGTGCTTCCCGCTGAGTTTTCTGCTTTCTCTGGGAGACTTAGGGAGGTGATAATCCCTTTCTATACTGCTCCAGCTTTAAGATCACTTGGCAGCTTGCATATAATACTGTGCACCTCGAGATGGAAAGACACATTAGGAATTTGGAAGGAGTTCAGCAGCAACCCAAAGGGAAGGGGTCATGTGTGCTGAATCATGGGGAAAGACTGCGATAATTAAGTATGCGGCAGAAATCCCAACTGACCAGAAACAAAGAATGGATGAGGCTGTCCTGCGAAAGAGCTGGAAATAAGATTCAAGAGAGAATTTTTAAGTAGGTACAAAGATGTATAGCAAAGGCGGCATTTGTTAAGGGAGAACTTGAGTTAAGAAGAAGGAAAAGTGCCTTGAAGTTGAAAATCCAAGTTGTCTTTCCTAGTTGGTGTATGTGAGAAGGTGCTTGTGGTCCCTAGAGGCGCTCTCTAGCTCTGGCCGAGCTTTTGGGGCTCTGTGCTGGGAAAAACAACCTTTCTGGGATTTACTCACTAAATGGCAGGTTTAGAGGCTTGAGGCGGTTTGGAAAGGGAAGCTCTTGAAAGGAAGAGGAGAAATGAAGAGGGACTGCAGGGATGTGGCAGAGAGCAGGGTGAAGGGAGAGCAAGATGTGAGAGCTGGAGGTGCAGGAGAAAGGGTGGAAGGCAGAATTCACCCCTTCCACCCTGAGATATATCTAATTACAACATTGACTGGTTTTGATATGCTAGCTGGTCTCCAGCAAACATCAGCTGCAGCTACGAAGCATCAGGCTTGGTCTAGTGCACCTGCAGCTTCTGCCCTTGCTGCCCTTCCATTTCAAGCAGGTCTCCTTCTAGTGTTGGCAGAGTAGGTCCTCTTACTCACCATCAGCATGGGATGGACCATGACTTTGGCATTACGGCTTTTGCACTGACGTCCCAGAGAAGCCTGAGGTTGAGCAGACATCCCAGTGAGGTCTGCAGGTGGACAAGGACTGGGGGGCAAAGCCATCTCCATGAGACCTGCGGGGAGTGCAGCCCTCTGCCCATGTGTCAAAGGCTGTGCTTCAGGTGAAGGCACCAAAATTAGTCCAGGACCTGTTCCCGCTGCATCGGGTGCTAGGTTGTGAATCATTAGCAGCCCTATACATGGTGTCCAGAATAATGAATTAGCCACCTTCTGCCCAAAACCAAGTTGCAGCAGTGCCGTTAGGGAAGGTACTCGTTTTCTCTCGCTGGGCACGTACTGTCTGTGCCTCCGCTGCTGTCCAGGAGAGCCGAGCCGTCCTTTGGGGCTCGTTACCAGATCTAGAGGTGCAGCCGCAGCTCATTAGTGATGGTGGGGTGGGGTGGGGTGGGGAGGAGGCACTGGAGGGGAGCTCACCACTGCTCTCTGGCAGGGAGCTGGGGATGTAAATGTCTCTGTTTACAAGGGAGAAAATGGAAGAGAGTGATACAAGTATGAAATCAAAGAGTTTTCCAAATAGGTGCGTACTGCGTGCTCTGATCATTCATGAGACTCAGCCAACCATGTGGGCTGAGCAGGGCTTGGGAACAGGGTAAATAAAAGTGCCCATTTCTCCTTCCACTGGCGAAATGCCACTTTTCAGGCTTCCATTTAGTGAGCAGTCCGTGATGCAAGAGTCTCCTGAGGTATCTCAAGATCCTTCATGTTTTTAATCTATGTTTTCTATGGAGCTGTATCAAATCCCTGGATGTATCACCCAGCTGTAAGCAGGGAGCCAGCAGCCAAGTTTGCTGCTTACCCCAGGCGTGAAGCTGGGGAGTAGTGTGTCACTAGCTTGTCCAGGAGCTGGGGGTTCATTCATCAGTGCACAGGCCTCATTAAGATGCCCTCACCAGGGGACCTTCAGGTCATCAGCATCTCCCCAGGCAATGTCCTCACTACAGCTACTGGGAGCAGTGCCCCAGCAAGGTGGCTGTGTCCCACACCGAAAATGCCTTGAAGGTTTTGAAATTAATCTTGGGATAAACAGCGGGGTTGGGAGCCTATTCTAAAGCCCAACACATGGCAGGAGGATGAGACAAGCTCCTAAGGTATGGGTTTGGGGGTTTGCAGAGGACGTGGAGACCCAGCTCACAGGGCTGAGCCCCGCGGGCTGGGGAGAGCTACGCTTCCCCTCTCGCCCAGTGCCCGCTGCTGTGACGATGCTCCCTTGCATCACTTTTGTCCCACTGCTTTCTTTTACAGAGTGACTTGTGGTCTTTGGGGATAACAGCCATCGAGATGGCGGAAGGCGCTCCCCGTAAGTAAAGGCATTGCTCTGCTTTAATTAACTCTGGGTTGTAACGTGCTGGGGTTTGCTGAGCACCAGCTCGCGCTCGGTTCTGTGCAAGAAACCCTACGCAAAGCTTTTCCCAAGCAACCTGGGCTCGCTGAGATGGAGCTCACGGGGTCCATGGGGACAAACCTGCCAGGGCAGCGTGGCCCCGGGGACAGGATGGGCAGTGAGCAAAAGCACACCACCCTGCGTGACTCCCGTCACGCCACTTAAGCACTCTGGGACTCAGTTTCCTCAAATAAAATACATGCAAAGAAGAGGTGGAGGACTGGAAGGAGGTAAAACAGTGCTCCTCAGCGCTGGTGTTTGGCCAGCCTCCGCAGTGACACAGATTGCAGCACACTGGGTTCAGCTGGTGCCTCTGTGGGGGTCATACTGCCGTGGTTTTTCAGCGTTATCCTGGGACCATCCTTGCATGCTGGTAAATGCAAGTAAATAAAGCAGAGCGTAGCACTGGTGCAGCTGTACCATGCTCTGGGACCATTGCTGTCAGCACCTGGCAGGGTGCTGGGGACATGCAGCTGCCAGGAGCGCAGGTGTCCCCCGCCAGCCCCTGCCACTGCGGTGCTGGGGACACGCACGCCGCTTGGCTGGGGACATCGGCTCTCACCTGAGCTCCAGGCTGCTGCCAGGCCAGCGTCTGCAGGGGGTTGTCACTGCAAATCCTCCTGCCCTGCAGGTCTTGTGGCTTCAGAGGAAACTTGGATTGCTCCAGTTGGGCATGTAGACTCTTTAGGAAGCCTGGGGGGTCTGCAAGACGCTGTGCTGTATTTAATGCCTCTTCTTGCACGTTGCAGCTCTCTGTGACATGCATCCCATGAGAGCCCTCTTCCTCATCCCCCGCAACCCGGCCCCGAGGTTGAAATCAAAGAAGTGGTAAGTCTCTTTCTCGATCTTCAATGGCTGTAAAAATGTTTCTGCAGCCCAGGCGCGCTGGGTATTTGGTGTTTACATTTGCTATATAGCTTTGGGGGTTGGTGACGGTCTCCAGCATCACTCTGGTGAGTGCAGGTTTGGGTCTTGATCTCCTTTGGAGAGGCAATTTCATCTGAAGGAGTTGTGCACCGTGGGATGGAGAGCTTCCTAGGTAGGCAGAGAGGGGAACGCTCTCTAACGCTGCCATTTCACAGCACGGAGTCGGCTTTTCCAAGGCGGTTCGTGCAGCCTGAAGCCAGATGACACTTTGCTTGGCTCCCATTTTTTTCCAGTCAGGTTCCGTTTTCAAGTGGAAACATGTATCCAGGCCAAAAAAAAGATAGTTTATCTTGAAGGTCCAGGAATGCGGAGATTTGTACTTAGTTTGGGCTTTATTTTAAAATTCTGCAGGAAAAAATACATCACTGTTTTGAAAAAAAAAGCAGGGCATGCCAATAAAAACCCGTAGGAAAAATATTTCTGAAGCCCAGCAGATGTTGTTTTGTTACTGTATGTTCTGTACTGATGGAGCTGGAGTCCTTAAAAACACTCATCTTTGGTTTGGGCTGTTTGCCTGCCTCAGGTTCAGC